GTAGAGCAATGCTTGATCTGTTGCTAGTTGAAAATCAAATTCCTTTCTTTATACTTTCAGAGTTGTTTGACATGACTGTGATGAGGAATGATGAACCAAGGGACTTTGTGGATATGGCTATTGATTTCTTATCGATGGTGGTGACACCGCCAGAAAATCAAAATAGTAGACCCAAGAACATCAAGCATCTACTGGGCTTACTTCATGATTGCTGGACTTTTTCGCCTGATTGCTGGGAAGTCCATATCCCTTACTCACTAGGGGATCCTGAGTCACTCGAGGAAGTAAGGTCCCTATCCCCTGAGGCAAAGCTTAATCTCTGTTCATCAGGGGTAGTGCGGAGTTCACCACCTGAGCCTTTGGAGGAATTAAGGTTTCCATTGCTTAAGGCAGTGGATAACCCCAATTCATCACTATCTAAGTTATCAGAAGAAGATCCAATTTCAATGGCAGCAACGTTTGTAAGTTTTTCTGAACCCAAGCCATCTGTGTAAGTTTTGGCACCCTATTCATCCAAGGAATTAAAGTTTCTGTCCTCTAACGCAAGTCATCTCTGCTATCTACAGGAAAAGGATGCCCTAGAAGCAAAACCATCAACAACTTTTTCCCCACTCAAGTCATTAGAGGAAGCGGAAGAAGTGCCAAGGAAACCAAAGGGGGCAGCACCAGCACCGTCAACAGCAGCAGATAGTGATAACAAGCTTGCTTCAAACCCTAGTTGGAAGGAATGGCGACTCATAAGTTCAGCAACACAGCTCAGCGAGGCAGGAATAGTTTTTAAAAAAAAAATCGAGGGGAGATTGTTTGATATAGAGTTTGACAAGGGGGTAATGTCAATTCCAACTTTAAGAATCGACGATAATACAGAGTCCATTCTTCGAAATTTGGTTGCTTATGAACAGTGCTCCAAGGGCGCATCTTCAAAACGTTTCACGGATTATATTATATTCATGGATCGCCTCATCAACACATGGAAGGATGTTGAATTACTTTCTCGCCATGGAGTTATTGATAACTGGTTAGGTGATCATGAAGTGGTCGCAAAAATATTTAACAAACTCGGTGACTCTGTGTTGTTCTCCGAAGACTTCTCTTATTTTGGGACCTTCAAGAAAGTGAATAAGCATTGTGACGAAGACTGGAACAAGTGGAAGGCAGATTTATTGCGCAAATACTTTAACAATCCATGGGCGGGCATTTCCTTCTTCGCTGGGATTTTCTTGCTTCTACTTACTGTGCTTACAAGTGTTATTTCGGTTCTTTCTTTTCTATCTAATTAAGTATGGAAAAGCTCCTCTCTACATGGTAGAGGCTGAGGCAGGGGCATATTGCAGGTCTCAAAAGTGAAAGTTGTGCTCAATGCATCTCTTCATGTTTATGTTCGTCATTCCAGAGTTTGCAATAAGTGAAGCTAGCTGCTCACACAAAAATGTTTCCCCGTTTAAATTGTGATGTCGTGTCATGTTATGTATTCTACTAAAAATTTGCGTGGGTTGTATTCCTTTG